GTTCTTATTAAGCTTCAATTCCCATATAATTAATTCTGTTTCTTTGATCTTCTCCAGAGAGATAACCTAATTACTCAATCGCTTCTTGTATTGTAAAACCACGTGTTCCAACTTCTCCTTCCATCAATGACTTTGAAATTTATAGCTTTTTATTCGCCATTCATTACGCATTAAACTTATAAGCTCAACAGTTGTGTAGTTCCTGAAAGAGTAGATTTAATATTTATGAACTCACGTTACAGGTTTGATGAGAGTGTGGGATCGTTTCAGCGAGTATGGCTTGAAGCCATTACTGCCCCCTATGTCTGAAAATGCAGAACGAGACTGCACGGCAAGACCGCGCCACTTGTTTTGCTTCCTTGCCGGTAGGTGCACAAACAAGACTTTATTTATGTGATTAGATATTCAGGCAAACAGATACTTGAATAATTCATTTACATCCCAACCTTTACATAACACGAATTAGTTTTCTCTGAGGATTAAACTTTAAGTTTATATTTCTTCAATGTTTTTTTTATATTTTTCTTTGCAAATTTATGACATCTGTATAAAGTTTCTTAACAATAACGAAGCCTAAATCTGAATACTGAGTGAAGCCTAAATCTGAATACTGAGTCTAAAATTGTTCTAGTTTCACTCAGTACAGGAATGTTTAGTTAGAAGAAATTTATAGCAAACTTCTTTAAGTACTTTTCCTGTACCATGTATTGTGGAACGAATAGCAAACTTCAATATTTCTGATTTTTAGGTAGCAATTTTCAATCAAACACAATTTCCACATCTGATTTATTTTCTCCAGTTTTTATTATATCTTTCCAGTAATCAAGAATCTTCTCCAGTTTTTTATTATATCTTTCCAGTAATCAAAACTTTTCTCCAGTTTTTATTATATCTTTCCAGTAATCAAGAATCTTCTCCAGTTTTTATTATATCTTTCCAGTAATCAAGCTTATCACTTTCTGGAATAGTTGTTGAAAGTTATCACTTTCTATAATAGTTGTTGAAAGTTATCAAAGTGTCAAAAATAAAAAAAAGAAACCTGTAGACTCATCTTCAGATCTCATTCACCAAAACTGTAACTTTGAATTATTCATACGAAATTTGTGCAAACGAGCGAAAAAGCTGGCTTGTTTGTGAACTTAAGATTTGAAACTTGGGATTAAAATATTTTAAATTTACGTCTATACATGAAAATAAAGGCCTTATTTTTAAACTGAGAGCTAGTTCGTTTCTGTTGTCTGAGTATGAAAGACATAGTCCTTCTACGCTAAAAGTGTTACTTATACATTTATACCTTTAAGCCAACATTAAGGCCGTGCGTGGTCGAGATTTTAGTGTGCCCTGACTGTGTATCCGAGGATTTATGGTTCGCGTCCTGTTTCCTCTAAAAACTTCATTTCGCAGTCCAGGACAGTGGGTGCGCTATATAATAATGAGGGTCACATCCCACTATTTAGTCGGTCAAGAGTAACCAAAGAGTTAGAGATGGATACTGTTGACTAGCTGCCTTCTCTCTCTCTCTCTCTCTCTAGTCTGTAAGTTCAAAATTAGGGTTAATGCGCAGAACGCCCTTGTGTAGCCTTGTGCGAAGATTATAAAAGAAACAAGTCCATTTCTTATGGGATTTATGTTTATCTATATACGTCTACAGCCTTACCTCCGGATTTAGAGTGAGATTATACTTGTGGACCATCTCCTCGCCAACTGTCATTGGAAGGAACTCATTGAATGTAATATGCTGCACAGAGCCTGCCATAATATGTCGCGCCTCGTGGTAAATTCTTTCGTCGTCCCAGTGCGGGTTTAGTCGGCCAAGTTCGATGGCAATTCGGTTGTGGTCGCGAACATAGAGAGTATGAAGGACGGTGAGGTGGATTTGTTCGTTAACTCGTTCGTCACCTAACAGAAAATAAATAAATATATATAGAGTGGGTACTTTATTTTTATCGTGTGATTAATTAATTAAGTCGATTTTAGACACCAGTAAAAAAGTTTCAAAAATCGTACAACATAACAGTAACAGAAAACATGTTTCAGGCTAACAGAATTTTCCGGGTGGACTTCGACAACGTGTCTCAGGTTGACAGAATTTTCCGGGTTGACTTCGACAACGTGTCTCAGGTTAATAAATTTTCTGAGTGGACTTCGATAACATGTCTCAGGTTAATAAATTTTCCGGGTGGACTTCGACAACGTGTCTCAGGTTAATAAATTTTCTGGGTGGACTTCGACAACGTGTCTCAGGTTGACAGAATTTTCCGAGTGGACTTCGACAACGTGTCTCAGGTTAATAAATTTTCCGGGTGACTTCGATAACATGTCTTAGATTGGCAGAATTTTCCGGGGGAGGGGGAGCGGAAGAAATCTATAAACGCATGTTTCAGTGTTCTTAAACCAACATATAGAACCTCCTATTATGTCACAAAAACATATATTAAAATATACAGTCTAACCAGACTTAAGTATATATATATACATTTTTTAAAGATTACCCAAAAAATAAATAAATCCTCTATTGAGTAGCTTTGTGGGGTAGAATTCATTGGAACTAAGCCTAATCCCGTACCTCCATCTTGGACAACCAGAAGAGCTAAAGAAACTAAGAGTGACTTTACAAAATGTTTACACAAAAACTTCAGTGATTTAAATAGATCTGATACAGAAATAGACAAATAGTTCACTTCAAATTTAAAATGAATGCTTAAAATACAAATAGAATTATATTTTTTAAACACACTTCTGAGTAGCTATCAATCTATTACATTATTCTTTATTGATTTATTTTTTTCCTATGCGTTACTTCTCAATATATTTGTATTACCAAAAATCGTTATTTCTGTTCTTTTGTTACGACTTCTTGAACAAAATTATTTGTCATTTCAAGCTTTGATAGTTCCAGTAATCAAAACTCTTCTCCAGTTTTTCATTATATCTTTCCAGTAGTCAAGAGTCTTCTCCAGTTTTTATTATATCTTTCCAGTAATCAAGAGTCTTCTCCAGTTTTTTATTATATCTTTCCAGTAATCAAAACTCTTCTCCAGTTTTTATTATATCTTTCCAGTAATCAAAACTAAATATTATAGATTGTTACAGTTCACATTACCTTATATGATACCAGTAATTTCCAAAAATAGTATACATTGTTACAGTTCACATTATCTTATATGATACCAGTAATCTCCACAAATAGTAAACATTGTTACAGTTCACATTACCTTATATGATTACAATAATCTCCACAAATAGTATACATTGTTACAGTTCACATTACCTTATATGATACCAGTAATCTCCACAAATAGTATACATTGTTACAATTCACACTGCCTTATATGATACCAATAATCTCCACAAATAGTATACATTGTTACAGTTCACATTGCCTTATATGATACCAGTAATCTCCACAAATAGTATACATTGTTACAGTTCACATTGCCTTATATGATACCAGTAATCTCCACAAATAGTATACATTGTTACAGTTCACATTACCTTATATGATACCAGTAATCTCCACAAATAGTATACATTGTTACAGGTCACATTACCTTATATGATACCAGTAATCTCCACAAATAGTATACATTGTTACAGTTCACATGGCCTTATATGATACCAATAATCTCCACAAATAGTATACATTGTTACAGTTCACATTACCTTATATGATACCAGTAATCTCCACAAATAGTATACATTGTTACAGTTCACATTGCCTTATATGATACCAATAATCTCCACAAATAGTATACATTGTTACAGGTCACATTACCTTATATGATACCAGTAATCTCCACAAATAGTATACATTGTTACAGGTCACATTACCTTATATGATACCAGTAATCTCCACAAATAGTATTCATTGTTACAGGTCACATTACCTTATATGATACCAATAATCTCCACAAATAGTACACATTGTTACATTGAATTTGCAACATTCTAAGTGATTTAGAAAGTAAACAACGTGTATTCCTTTAAATCGTAATGGATCCGCAAGTACTACGCACATAGGGTGACACGTATTAAGTTTGTGTTTTTACGTATAGGAAGGAAGTGGAACAACCATACCGAGAGCTATGCCAGTTAGTACTGATGTGTAAGAAACACATGTGGAACATATTTATGGAGAAAAAAAATTGATATGTTTTTTATAGTTTTCTTTAGAAATGGATATTAAGTTGTTGCGCTTGGTGTTTTATTGGTTTTTAAATAATTGTATCAATTTTTTTATCTTTTAAATTATTTTTTTTTCGTTACAGGTACTTGTGGAAAGAGGTGTTTATCTTAAGCGAAACTGTTATCAGCTTATATGATACCAATAATCTCCACACAAGTTTACCAGCTTTCGACGCTAAAATGCAGGTTCGATTGCCAGCGGTGGACAGAGTACACATGGCCCATTGCGTTTAAACAACAACTGTAACTGTTTATTGTAACTTAAACGTTTAGTTGCTTTTTAAAAGAACATTGACGAGATAATCTAATGATAAAGTTATCCCTTAAATTACTGACTTACTTAGACCTTCAAATTAGTGGCTTATTTTAATCTTTAGATTAGTGTTATTGTTAAGCCCAAAGCTACACAAAGGGCTATCTGTGCTCTGTCCACCACGGGTATCGAAACCCGATTTCTAACAGTTCTAACGGTCCGTAGACATACCGCTGTGCCACTGGGGGCCTTTTGTGACAAACGACAGGGGATATGAATCCTACCTGCAATTTTACGGTTAATGGGCGACTTTTTTTGTAACTCATTGTCATAATCTATACCCTTACCCTATTCACGTGATCTATACCCTTAGGATATCAGTTCATTATAACAACGTAACAAACGAGTTATCAAACAGAAAGAAAAAAAAACAACAACACGAAATATTGAACCAATTTAAAAATGCTACCATTTAAATAACAATAATTATACAATCTTTTGGCACGATAGTAATTCGGATCCAAGCGATATTAAGACCTCTCTGACGTATTGGTAGACATCAATGAAACAATTCCGATCATCGTATTTACTATAAAAATATTACTGTATAAATTATTATGTCTGTAAGTAAAATAGCATGACATCACTATCCATAAAGTACCTCCATGGTAATGAAGGGGTCGTATACTTGAGCTGGGGTGTTAATAAGCCCGCCGATCAATTCGTCCATCTTCCCGGGTTCGTATACGATGTAGGGCTGTCGCAGGAGAGTACGAAGAGGATCTTCTCCTGCAAGACAGAAAAAAAAAAAGCTGAGACAATGTTTAAAAAAGAATTAAAGGAAATATTGTTACTGTAGAATATCTTAGCATGAAAATATAAGATATTTGTACGTATGGAAATTTCAAATAGAAAAGGAAAAACAAACAAACAATAAAATCATAATTTAGTTTAAATCTCAACATTTAAAAAAATAACTTTGGAGATTTACAGAATAAAATTTAAGAGATGAGAAAATTATTAAGCTGAAAATAAAGGAAAAAAAATGCATATTTTTTACCTATGAACTCGTGGAACTTATTGTATCGCCTGACCATTCCCTGAATGTGAGTGTGACCAAATCTAAAAGCTGCTGCTTGGAAGGCGTTAGACATACCCATGTGGACGTTAGGGTCGTAACCTTTCCAGTATCCCTGTAAGGTTCATAGTACGGAATGTCTTCGCCCTTCCCAGTCCGCACCATTCTCTATAATCATTGTACCCTGGAACTCCTGTCTCTCGGCCTCGCATAATGTTGAAAGCAATTAGATCCATCCCGAACGGTTGTGGTGGCTCTTCAAAAAGGTGGTTCGTGACCTGAAATCACAGTTTGAAGTTATTCCCCATAATGGAAATGTTAATGTTCAGGTGCCCTTTACTAATATCTGTGACTATTCCTAATTACTGATCGTCCCTCTTCCCTCCGAGGGTTTAAAAAGATGTAGTGATTTATAAAATGTAGGTGTACACCTTTATATATATAAAGACTTTCAACTAAAGAGCATTACTGACATAAGGCTTTTACTGTAATCCCCCCGATGGGTTAACTAAGATGGTACAATATTAAAATTATGATAACCCGATTGTTCGTGGGTGGTAATCAAATCTTCCTTTTTCAAGGTTGAACTGAGGATGAACGCTGAGAAAATGTAAACAGTGACGTTATGTGTATCTATGTGTTGCTACACGCGTTTCTATGGATACCTTATACTTACTTGTAAATCTGCGAGTATCTCAGGGCAGTTCCGTTGCTAAGGACAGGTTCAAGTTCTTCGGGGAAGGGGGTCCTCATAATCAGAGACGGATAAAAGACTGGGGAAGGGGGGTCCTCATAATCAGAGACGGATAAGGGACTGGGGAAGGGGTTCTCATAATCAGAGACGGATAAAGGACTGGGGAAAGAGGGGTCCTCAGAATTGAACTTCACAAATAAGTCAAGTACAATTAAATGCTATTTATGAACTACAGTTTGGACAACAAACAAACAAATAAAATACTATGGTGTATTTAAGTGTTTTACACTCAGAAAAAAGAAACCTATCATTCTATAGGTATTTGAACCAATTGTGTATCAATTATGTACAAGCTGCCCAGTGTCGCTAGCAATACGAAGAATTAAATTGTGGCGCAATGCTACAAGTTCTTCAAATACCTATAGA